GAGTCTAGCTATTGTCCATAGTTAGCGAAATATTTTTTCCGGATGGCCAACAACTCCGTGGTTTTCCCTGAAGTACACTAAATTTTCCTTATGCTTGTTTAGTGCTAATGATACATGCTCAACATTTTTCTGTCACAGGGATTTAAAAAATTGTGTAATAATTACTCTATGTTGTATCATGCAGTGAAACTTCGGTTCACGAATTTAATTCCTTTTTGAAGGTAATTGTTTCGTCAACCGAAATGTTCGTCAGTCAAAATATTTTCTTCTTAAGAATTTATGCAAAATGAATTAATTCGCCCCGATACTATGTATGATTACGTACGTAAATTTTACAACAGTACTTTGTGTACTGATACATAACCTAAAAGAATGGACGTCGTTAAATCTAAGACAGGTACAGGTAGAAACTAGGCCAGCACCTCTGGCGTACAACGGGTGATTGAGGTATTCATGAACATAGCTAATTGTTTAAGCTTCAGCATAAATTTTGAAGACGAATACCTCAGGGGGCTGATCTGTGGGTTTCCAGCCCTCTTCCTATACCAGCAACCTCTCCAGAGGACTTTCGGTTCGCCAAGTAGTTCGAATGCGCCCTTACCGCATAATCACTAGACGTTTACAAACATTCATGGTTTCTCTGGGATTCGAATCCGAGCCCATCGGTACGGCAGTCAACGTCACTAACCATTATACCAGCTGGGCGGATAAATCAGACCAAAAAAAAAGATAAAACACAATATTAAGCAGGTAAAAATGGATGAAAACTCGATTTAATTTCACTGTACCTGTACAGAGAAGAGTGGACGTTGTAGAAAATGATGAGAAATAAGTTATTCTTTCGATACAAAATTGTCTTCCATTAAAACATCAAGTAACTGTCTTTACGGGATATTTCATTTCACTCTTGCTTTGTCTCTAAGCGCCATTCGACTATCAGAAGCACTGTGCTCCTGATAGTCGAATGGTTAACTCTCCTGTTATACTCAAGGTTTCCAATATGCTTTGTTTCCGCGTTCGTTTTAAACTATTTCTAAAGTGAGAATTAAGTTCTAGAGTAAGAAACTATTGTAATTGAAACTGCTTGCTTTGAAATAACGAAATAATTTTGAATCGCATGTACTCGCTTCATTGTGTAAAGTCACGAAGACAAAACCCGAATCTTTCTGTGTTTATGAAGGATGCTCAGTTTTCCATGTCTGTACATTCAAAATTGCTAATGTCAAACAGCTGAGTTCTTTCTTTTGTATCCAGTATTTGCCAAAGCATCGACTCACACCACTGCTTAGATAATATACAATAAATAGCTAACACCTATTTACAGCTAACAGATTGCTTCATTCTAGTCATCTGAACGTTTAATTTTAGACTAATAATATCTCCATTTGAAGGTTTTAACTATTAGTATAAATGTGTTTCACGGCTTTTGGATAAACGCGATGTACAGCTCAGCAAACTGAATGTACTAGATAAAATGTCGTAACTGCTTCCGTTCTTGAGGAATAAAATGATTATCAGACAGTCTCCCTCTAAATTATTTGAACGTATAGTAATGAGTAACAATTATCTTTTATAAAGCTTTGCCGTTTCAACTAATCTCTCGTTCACAATGTACAATTGAAACGCGAGAGAAATTTCGGAGCGACGGTGAGAATTAATCTGATCACCTTTAGCATACAGCTACTCTGTGTGCGGAAACTTCCGCGTATAAATTGTTCCTCAATAATCATTTAATAAATTCTAGGTCAGCGTAAATTGTATGTCTGGTTCTGAAATTATTCGGCAGCCGCAGGTTTCATATGTTATAAGAAGTAGAAGATGTAATATTTATCAATCGAATAAGAATATAATTGTATAAATAAAAAAATCTGAAAGATTTCAGATTTTATATTACGCCCAAAGGGTTTTTTAACGTTGTGTTAGCTTTATTTATTAAATATCATGTTCTTCGCACTTAAAGAATAAGAATGTAATTGTATAAATAAAAAAATCTGAAAGATTTCAGATTTTATATTACGCCCAAAGGATTTTTTTAACGTTGTGTTAGCTTTATTTATTAAATATCATGTTCTTCGCACTTAAACCATAAACTTGAATTCAACATCAATATCACAAAATACTTCTAAAGAGCATATCTTTAGAATTTCCGATGCACAGTCTCGCGCTATGGAGATAAAAATGTTTTTTCCTCGTAAAGTGTTGCCATTTCTCGCTTTGAAATCGTTGAGTTTCTTAATCAAAAACTCATAAATGCTTTGCAAAATATGAAATAGATAATAAAACAAATTCCAAATTTGGGCTTCCAGATGCCCATATTCGAGTGGGGGGACTACATTATTCAAAATTCGATACCTCTAAGTATCGCTGTTTTATCACAATGCGAGAAACATACATATATTTATGTATGTATACATATATTTTATTCTTCATTATGTAATTTCTTTAAATATAATTCAGGGCTCTAATCTTTGATGGCAACAATTTGAAAAGTGAAACACCGTTTCATATTTAACGACGCAAAAATGCCAAAACGAAATTAATAGCCCTTCTGAGAAAATGGCCCCGTTGGGCTAATAAAAAACATTTTTTCTTTCTCAAAAGAAATATAAATGAAATTACGGATGACTAAAAAAGTAACTAATTGATATAAAATTATTTATTTATTTAACTGACGAACTTGAAACTTGTTTCTAGGTGCCGGTATCTTCTGAGTTATCTTGCCAATTCTATAACATTACGGTGGGTACTTTATCATTATAAAGTAGAGAGAAATGATAACTGGCAAAGAAAGGGATGATTTTCCTTTAGAAACCCTGAAATTTAATAACCTTCCTGTCCGCTAAAAGATTTATAAGCATTTAATTCATCAAGATTCATGACTGCTTTGTGTATAAAGTGGAAAGCTTAGAAATGTCTTCTGGATGAGAGATTACACTGTTCCTAATTCTCCTTGTGTTACCCACCTGTTTCATCGTTCTTTTAAGTATCTATGATTGCTTTAATTCTCAAATAGTAGTTGCTTTAATTTGCAAAAGCCTTAGGAATTTTCTAGCATGTTCTCTTTGTGCCTCTGGACAACTCATAGATAAGAACATTTAAACGCTTTTAATGCTTTTAATTCTGTAACTCAGAACTATTAGGAAGGAAGATGGCTTAAACATTGAAAGTCAGGCATGTGTAAAAATAAAATATGTAAAAATAAAAGAATAAATAAAATTGTCTTTAAAAGTCGTAAAAAGTCAGAAAGTTAAAAATGGTTAGAGGAAATGTAAACGTTTTTCAGACTTTTAGGAGAAAACTGGAATGTTTTTTAAAAAGTCCAGGAAGTAAAAAACACTACACAAATCAGTTTCCTCAGTAATAGTAAACATTGTAATGTGGAAGTTTTCCCCATGCTTTTGGAAAGAGAAGGCACTATTATTTTATTACGTTAGAAGTTACTCATTGATAGATAAAAAGTCTTACATGTGTCTTGGAAAGAACATAAGTTGAATTATTAAAGCCCATGAAAAATGGATGCTTTAGTTTGTTGTAGCGAAGTTACCTGGTAAAGTAATGATTGTTATTAAGAAAATATAGCAGGCTGTGATTTTCGCTTTGCAGGGAACGTACGTAGTGAGACATAGTATAGTTTAAATGATGCTTAAAGATTTTGAACTTTATAAGACTTTACAGAATTTGATGGGACTTGAGTCTTCATTAAAACCATCTTACACATATACTAGTATCCTTTTGAAAGCAGGAAGTTGCGGTAGAGAATTTCGATATCACCTTGCATCAATAAATAATTGCTTGTGTGTTTAGATTTAAAATGTCGAGTGGAATATATTTAGTTTAAACTAATTTTTTTTTTTTTCGAAATTTCTGAGTTTTATCTTACAATACGTCTATGCAAGGCTCAATTTCAAAAATAGAAGGCCTCTGTTAAACCTGTTACAGAGCAACCCCCCTTCTAATTTTTTCATCACATCATTTATAATAAATTTATATATGCATTTTTGAGATAACGTTTTAAATCAACATTCAAAGTTATTTAAACAAAACAAAGTATATTCATCTCTCTGCATGTTTTATTTTATGGTTTCACTTTAATATGTAATTAATTTTATCATATTTAGTTTTGTAGTTTTAGTTGAAGTAGAAACTATAAATTTACTCATTTTAAATCAAGATCTTGCTTTTTTCTGAAAGCTAATGAAAAAAAGAAAAGAGAAGAGCCTTAAAATTTCTCATTGATTTTAATACAAACTTTAATTAACTTAGAGAGGTATGACTGAATTAACTGAATTAAGGAACAATTAAATTGTTCATCAATTCCATTATTACGTTTATGAATAAAGCATTGAATTATAAAAGTTTCTTTCATATATCGAACGAATCATTTCTTTTGATATCCAAACCATTTTAAAAATTAGGCGTGGAATCGTCTAAAAAATCATGTCGTCTCCCTCATTTTGAATCATAATTTAATAATTATAATTTTAAATGAAAATACTTCAGTTCTTTTTCATACTTCTCGGTAATTAATCCAAATTAAATATTTTTCAATAAGTTGAATATTCTAACAAAAAAGTTCAGTCGAAAAGGACAATTTAGTAAAATTAAATTTTCCAGATCTTTCTGCAGCAGTTTGTTTTTATTTTATATCATATTGATTTGTGTAAAAATACACATTATTTTTTATTAACTTATCCTGTTATCTTTATCGAAAATTAGAAGTTCATAATACCCTTAAATTTGTTTTAATATGGAAGGAAGAAAATGATTGAAAAGGTACAGTTTAACACAAGTTAGTTTTAATTTTATATTTTTGAAACCGAGAACTAAAACAATATATTATATTTTACATACTTTAAATATACTACAGGAGAATTCCTCCCCTTGAAGTTATTAAGCACGTACCCCGTTTGCCCCCGCGGAAATTAAGCCATACATCCAATGACCCGGTATCCATCCTGTAGCTCGCAACACGTGGTTATTTTTCTTCTTGTTTCTTTCAGAGCCATCTGCCTAACCAGAGAAGTCACTCTCTGTACCAGCCACCGTCAAGCGTCTACGATGAAGACCCAGGGATCATGTCAGAGGTCGAGACTTCGGCCACGGGCTTTAGGAGAGCGAGCAAAGCGAGGTCAAGCCTGCCAATTGTCCGAACACCATCCAAGACACAAGAGCGGCCTTTGGGTGAGTACCTGCCTCCGAGTCAATTTTTCCTGTCTTTCCGCCAAAACGGATCAACTGAAGATTTTGATTTAGTCATTTGTTCCAAATGAAGCATTAATTCAGGATTTTAATCATTCTGCAACTTCAAGAATGAATCTAGAATTACCCTAAATGTGCCTGTGTGTGAAATTTTGAAATCGTGTACTAACAAATAAAGTGCGTTTTATAAGGCTGGCAGCAACTAGTTAGAAAATGCAGGGTTATTGCAAAAGAAGTCAGCAGTTTCAATAATTTGTAGCTAAAAAACACCCACTAGTTATGCAATGTGTACGTATATGCAGATATTAATTCTCTACCCCCCTCAGCATTTCACGTGGTGATGAAAACCATCACTGCTTGTCTAATGACACTGCCGATAAAACGGCCACATCTACATGAAAATTATTCTAATTCATGTAAGCGCTGCAGAAGTATCAGCTTATATGGGATAACTATTTCAAAATTAGCGAATTTGTAGCTAGTTTTGGAACCTGTAGTACAGGTCTTGTTCATTTCTTTGGGTTTAGTTGGAAGAAGTACGAAAGCATTCAGTTGGTTTTCAAATACGTGAGTGGGCCCAGGACACTTATCTTTGCACTAAAACTCCATACTTTTTAATTGCTTATACCAGTCATCGATAGATTTGCTTCATAGAAGTGGTTTTTAAAGTTGAATCGAAAATTGTGCTCAGTCACTGTAACGAATTCTATTATGTTGAATTCTAAATCACAAGCCGCAGCCAATATCTTCGGTGCAGGTATAGTAATTTGCTTAAGAGCCATGTGACACCGCCTATTTTTTATGGAATGCTAGGAAAAATTTATATTTGCATATATTTTCAAATTTCATCGCGATATTTTTATTGTCTTCCTTTTATAAATCATTAAAACTATTTACATCTTCTGTAGTAAATCTTTCAAGAATAAATCGCAGTAAGCTCTATGAAATTGTACAAAATTAACATAGTAGTTCTTAGAAAACAAAGCTCTTGATAAACTTTCAATCAAAGTTTAAGTGATTTTCTTTATGTAAACAAATTTCCGACCTAAAATAGTCACTTTCTTTCCGATCTCGGTGAGGCATGTAATCGTTTTGGCTCATAAATCGTGATCTATCATCATCTAATCTGGACCTTGTCGGAAATTAGCCCAAACGCTGAAGTGTAAACTACTATGCATGTCAGTCAAACTTTCGGCAGACACCCTTTGTTCTGCTTCCTTCCTGGGTGGTGTGGGAAAATCAGCTATTGAATTTGTAAGTGGGTAATAAATTATATCACTTTTTCCCTTAAAATTGTGCTTATGGTTTATATTTCACAATTTAAGCAAGCTGCCTTCGTAGAATTATTTTACATATTATATTGATACTTAAACAACTAATTGATTTAATTAACTTATCTAATTCGCTTTCCTAATAATTTATTGTCTTTCAAATATTACGAATTCCGTCACTGTGAAATTTTCTTTAAAAACTATTTCTGGGAAATCATGGTAGGAAGAAATATGTATATAATTATATTCTTATTGGCTAAGTTAACTTTAAAAGCCTGTTTTATTTGCTATTTACTTAACTATGGCATCAAGTGCCAAGTTTTTCAAACAACTTTAAAATGTTTCTCAAGCCAGTTAGTATTATAATTAGTTCGAAACAGAAATTATTTATTCTGTGTGTTGCAGAAGTAAAAATATTATTTGAACTAAATAACCTTTATTAGAATAAAATACAATAAATTAAAATAAAGCCTGAAAGCTTTCAGATTTTATACTACACCCAAACGGGCGGTGTTTTTCCATTTACAGACACATACACGTTTCGAAAGCATATATTTAAAAATATAAAAATATTTAAAAACAGTATACCTTTACAATACACAATCTCGCGTGCTAGAGATAGATTTTTTTTATTCCGTACAGTGTTGCCATTGCTTGCTTTGAAATGTTTGAGTTTTTTAATCAAAAATTCGTTAAAGTTTTAGAAAATATCAAATAGACAATAAAGCAAATTCCAAATTTGGGCTTCCAGGTGCCCATGCTCGAATGTAGAGCTACGTTATTCAAAATTTGATAATTCTAGGTACCTTTGTTTTCCACAGTGCGAGACACATACATACATTCATGTAGATTCTTCAATATTTAGTTCCTTTAAATATAATACAGGGCAATAATATTTGGTGGCAACAATTTAAAAAGTGATTCGCCGTTTATAGTGAAACGCCGCTCAGCTAGATTCCTATTCCCATCTAGTCTTTGACAGCTATATTCCATGTCAGGAATCCATGCTTTAAATCGCCGTACCTCGCTGAAGAGAATCACGGGTAATGGCCACACTGATAATCAGAACGGCACACACACTAGATAGGGCACATCGGGGAGGAAACATAGTCTTTACACATTTCTTGGCTTCTACCGCGGGATTATATATAACTTTTCAAATCATCAGCATCAAATTTCTCAATAAAAATAAGTAGCATAATCTATACCTGTGCAACTAAAATTAAACTGAAAGGACAACTATTTTTTTTATTCGTGTAATTGTAAATTAATCAAATCATCAACATAAAAATTTTTAAGAAACAAACTTTTGTTAAATATAGCAAAACTATTTAATTAAACTAACTAAATACAGCAAACCTAATTAATTATGAAAACTAATTAAGACGAGTCGGTGTAAGATAATACACTTTATCATGGTCAGGATCTTTTTATAAAGATAGTGGAAAACTAATAATAATTAAATACTTTTTTCGTAAGAAAACTTCAAAATATCCCTCAGTAAAAATTTTAAACCTTTATATTTCTCCATTTATAACTGATGCAATCTCGATCATAATCAAAGTTCGAAACTGCTAATTAGATCTGCATTAAAATTCAAAGTGTGATTTTCCGAATTTTTATCGCAGTTTAAGATTGATCGTTGGCAACATTAACTGATGCGAATCGTTAGTTTTCTCTAATCAAGCTAATCAGCATACTAAAAAATACAAAACGTAAGATGAGAAATAAGAAAATAAAAAGAAGTAAAGGTCCCCTCAGTGACTTCCTTGTAAACTTTTCTGTGCCATTATTTAACACTTAAACAAACAATGGCGAAGAGAGAAGCGCTTAAAAACAGCTTTCAACTTTTCCAGGCTTTTAAGTGTAGTGAAACATTTACTTCTCTTAAAGCTACGTATTAGTTTTCTTGATTAAAATATTTTTTTTGAAAAATTCGCTTTGTCAACCTCAATACATTATTTATGAGCTGAGCAAAAAACTTTCTAGCAGTTCTTTTCTGGAGAACATTACTAATTGTCAATAATAAAGAACAGTAGGAAAGCCGCTGAATTATTTTTTTTCTTTGAAGGGAAACTTTTTAAGTGCTTTGAAAGTTTGCATATCAGTTAAGTTTCATAGTTTTTGCATTAATTAAACTAAAACCAATATGGGAGTAAATATTTGAGTTATTTTGTATTTTAACATCTTATAAGAACATATAACTTATTACACAAAAGTAAAATATCAAATAAAACGCAATACTGCACTTTGGCAGCATAAAATTATTGTTTCATCAGATCGAGAAGTTCTGGGTTCGATTGTCAGCAGAATATAGGAATAGAATAAAATAAAATTTAAATCTACCAGAAGTGACAAGCAAGACATGAAGAAACCACAAATCGAACAACATGCAGCATTACTTGGAAATCAATCCTAAACGAGAATGTAAATTAACACAAAAAAATTAAACAACAAAAATTTATAATTCTTCGGTCTTTATCCAAAAGCAGCCAACAGAATTATCAGCATAGCAACGTTTCTGAATTATAGCAGAATGAAATGAATAGTTGTTAATTAACTATTATAGCTAAATTGATAATTAATTTTGCTTCTTTTAAAACTAAAAATTAATAAAAAATGTGTTTTTATCAGCGTTCATCAAGACATAACTTGCCCCGACGCTATTCGCAAGAAAAAATATTTTTTAAATTAATAATTCATTTGAATTTATAAATACACACATAGGGTGTGTAAAATATACTTACTCTTAATTTCAAATCAAAAGAATATACAATTTTAGAAATTTTTATGGAATATATATAAATTTAACAGAAATTAAAAAACAGCAACATGGAATCCAAAAAACGAAAGATTTTCAAAATGACCCTAGTATTTAATAAGAAATCTAATTATGAAAAGCAAAGCTCCAAGAAAATACAAAAATGAGAAAGCGTTCCATACGTGGAAAAAAAATGAACCGATAACCAACGAAAAGCGATTTTATTGCAAAATGAAAGTAATTATATTAGGTGTCATGTACTAGTTTGTTTGTTTACTATGTTTCATGTTGCTTAATTTATGTTTCCTTCATGTTAGGTAACTTGCCACTTTTAATAGATTTTTATCCTTTTCTGCCTTGACTTATTCACATTAATAATATTGCTATATTTTCTTTGACGATTTTATTAAAATATTTTAGTATTGATCTAGCATTATATTTCTACTATTTCTCTCTCTTACGTATATACTACACACACAGATACATGAAGCAAACAACATCCTTAAGCTTTATGTTTTTGTGGTAAAAATTGTTTGCAATGAAATACTAAAGGTTTTATCGACCTAGCAGCTAACCGAGTGTGTAAAGCCACTGAACCATGGAAGTTCGTTCTGTCATCAGCAACTGAACGGTTGCATTAGGTGGGAACTTAATAAAGTTAAGCCAATGTCTCTTTAAAAGTCCGCGTATTTTCCAAGAGGATATTGGATAACGTATGGGCTGCTTGCATGGGATCTTTGTAAAAACTTGTCAGTTCCTTTTAGAAAGTCATTTAACAGGATATATTAGCTTGCTGTTCGGAGCATTATTAAATATGAGCCAATTGTAAATTGAACAAGAAACATGCGAATGTAATATTTGAAATTATGCAAAAGAAACAGCCTTACTTTGGTTCAGATTTCGAATGAAATTCTGTTGGTTACAAAGGTATCAGACGAGGTTTCTGTTCT